GAGCAATGTAAGAAAGGGTGTGCAGTACAAATGCAAACTTCTAATAAAATAGAGAAGCACCAGGAAGAACACTAATCTGAAAGCTACGTCGGTTCTGGGCTGCAGTCAATACTGACACTATAAATACCGCATTAAGAGAGACACAGCACTCACTCAGATACAAAGAAATCCTGTAGACTCACACCACACACCACGGTTCCTGACACCTCGGCCCCGCAGCTCACCTCTCTGGGAATATTTGCACCATGGGGCTGCAGCTTCTCAGCCTCGGGCGCCTTGATTTTGGGGTGCGTGCATGTCCTCGTGTTGGTGTTCTCTGAGCTGTCCAGCATGGCAAGGCTCTCCTCAGAGCTTGGGGGCCCACCGGCCCCCGCCAGGTAGCCTGGGCACTCCTGATCCAGAGGCACGTGGACCCTCCCACCAGGCATCCTTCGCTTCCTGTACTTTTCAGAAACAGGCAAAGGATGGACCACCCTTTGTGTCGACACGCTGGACTTCTGAGAAGACGTGACCGAGTCATCCATGTCTGTGGACTCTGGAAGGCAGGAGAGAAGGGGGCCTCGTCAGTCTCCTGTGACTTTAAGGAAGGTGTGTGTGTGTGTGCATGTGTGCAAGAGTGCATGTGTGGTGTGTATGTCTGCATGACTGTGAGCACATGCATGTGCAAGTACGTGGGAGTGTGTGTATGTGTGTGGGGTGCAATTAATTACTTTTGTGTGTGGCCTTTCTAGCCATGGTCTTGTAACTCCCACCCAAGTGACTGGGTAGGACTCTGTGACAGGGTAATTGTAGCCTGCCAAGGGGATTGATCAGTTTTGCCTTAAAAGAGAGCTAATTTCAGAGTGGAGAGGAGAAGCCCACCACCACCAAGGAAGGAGAGACCCTGCAGCAGAGAGAGGGCAGCAGGAGACAGCGCAGTGGGCTTCCCAGCCCATGGAGAGAGAAAGCTGAGTGCCTGTGGGCAGAGACTGAGAGCCGGGAAGAGGCCGTCCTGATGGAAGAACTGCATCCTGATTGTTCTTGAGCTTGAATTGTAACTGTTACTTTCCTAATAAACCCCACAACTGGGAGTATGGTTTGTGAGTTCTGTGTGGCCACTGCAATGAATTATCGAAACCAGTAGAGTGCCTGGGAGGGACGCTGGTGTCAGAATTGGTAAAGATGGCAGAGGGAGGAGGCATGTCTGATTCCTGCCTCATAGGAATCAGCCTTGGACTGTTGATCTTGACTCTCCTTCCCCTCCGTGAAGTTGCAGGAGGTCAGACTCTGCCCTCAAGGCGTTTTTACGGTGTGGGAGCGCATGTGAGTGTGCACACCGTGTGTGAGTGTGTGAGAGGGTGCAGGAGTATGTGTCCGTGCATGTGAGCATCCAAGTGTGTGAGACAGTGTGTGTGCACACGCGGAAGACCCACCAAAAAGTGCAGGACAGAAGGAATACTTAAGTTTAACA